ATTGGTTTTTTTTAATGTTAACTGGCCAGTCACCATCTCTCAATCGAAACATGCTAGGGGTTGTTAGGAAACAAACAGGAAATAAAACCACCAATATCATAATGTGGTTATACAAATCTATCATACAAGCACATTTGGAATACTGTGTCCTGTTCTGGTCACTTCACTTCAAAAAGGATATTGTAGACTTGGAAAAGATTCAGAGAAGGGCAACCAAAAGGATGAAGGGGTTGGAGCGACTCCCCCAGGAAGACAGGTGGCAGCATTTGCAACTTTTTAGCTTAGGTAAAAAGTAAGTAAGAGGTTGCACAATGGAAATTGATAAAATTATGCTTGGCGTGGTGAAAGTGGGTAGAGAAAATCCCCACCCCAGTCTCATGGCCCTCTATCTCATGGACATCCAATGAAGGAGAATGTTGGAAGATTCTGGACAGACAGAAGAAAGGACTTCCTCCCTCATGACATTGGTTAAACTATGAAATTTTCTCCCACAGAAAGCAGTGTAACCAAATAACTGAGGCCCAGTAACTAGCATTTACTGGTTGGTGCCTTTAAATCCATCTCTAGCTTATAGCCTTCAAAACTTCAATGCTGAAGAGGTAGATATTTCTGAAGTTTAACTTTGGGGGTAGGGATCAAAACCGTATTCACCAAAAAGTCTGTGTGGCTATTCCATTTCAAAATAAGAGTTTCAGAGGAAAAGATTCAAGAGGAAAGACTGAATCAATAGCGGATCCAGAAAATCCTTTAGGAAGGCATCAATGTATCTGTGCAGCTTTTCAAACCGCTCAAGTTTCTAACGCAAAGCTCGGAATGTTTTAAATTGTGACTGAGCTTATTCCATGATTTCCATACATTTAAATAGCTGCTTGACGAGAACTGTTGAGAACTGTTGAACTCTCTCTTCGGCGATCACTCATAGCCGAGTAAGATTGTCTTCCATGAACACGGTCTTAATAGTGTGTCCGTAGGTGACTGTGGAGGCCAATTCCGGATCCACACTTCCTTCCACAGTGGGGACAAAGGTTTCTGTGCGGGAGTTGATCATGGTGAAGCTGACATGATTTACAGTGTTGAAGGCCTTAGTCAGGTCAATTAACGCCATATACAGGGGTTGGTTTTGCTCTCTGCATTTTTCTTGAAGCTGTCAAGCAGTGAAAATCATGTCCACTGTCCCCCTAGAAGGTCAAAAACCATTTTGGGATTGAGGAAGGGTAGCCTCAGATATAGTTAGAAGATGGCTTGCTAAGATCCTTGCAAGAATTTTGCTGGCTGCAGCTAATAAAGAAATGCCTCAATAGTTTCTGCAATCTGTTCTATCACCTTTCTTAAAAAGGTTGATAATTTTGGCATCCTTAACGTCTGCTGGGATCTCCTCTCTCTCCCAGATTTTTTCCATGAGCTTGTGTTGCATCTAAGGGGTTAAACTTAGTATTCAGGTTTTTTCTATGAGCTGGTGCTGCATCTAAGGGGTTAAACTTACTATTCAGAGCTGAGCCAATTTTACTTGGTGTTTTTCTGCACTGCAGTGAAAGTTAATTCATTCTAAAGCAGAGAGCTTTCCAGCAGCATTGTTAATATTATAATGTTCTTTTGCAGCACAGGCCTAGCTAGCTTATTAGATGGAGGAAAACCTAGAGATGTGCTGACAAGCAGGGTTCAACATTCTGTACTGGCAGTGGACGGGGGGGGAAGAGATATTTTTAATCAAAGTTGCTCTGTTTGATTTTCTATACAAAATCAAAAGTACCTTCCTAAGTTCCAAAGGCAGAGTTGTTAGCAGTTCAGCTAAAAGGCAGCTTATGTACATCAGCATTAAAAAATAAAAATAAAACAAAGCCTTTTGATGAGAGTCTAACCTGAAATTGTTTAATTAAAAACAAAATATGCTAGGAAATGGTACAAAGCCAAAGCCAAGCATCAGTTTTGCTGCTTCAGACAACAGAAAACGAAACAAACAATTTCAGAATGACTGCTGCAGAAAATACAAAAAAGAGTGGGGGGAGGTTTACACTGCAGCGACGGTGCAACAAAATTCTGCAGGGATGAAGAGAAGGCTGACAGCATACTTGAGGTGTAATTCATTCCTTGAACATTCACATTCCTATCTCAGCACTGGCAGCCTGATAAAAAGAGAACCAGTTTATTAACAATACACACAGGTTTCCAGGAATGTCATCTCCCTGGGTAAATCTGAGCACTAGGTTAGTAGGCAGTAAATGACTCATGGGCCAGTATATTTAACAAACCGCACGGCCTCAATTGTGCACGACCTAGCATTAACTTAAGGCTAATTCTCACATACATGTTCAACATTTGATGGCTCTTAGCTGATTGACTAGCCTCCATCAAAAAGAACTGTGCTTTGAGGGGCAACAGATGACACTAACGTCTTCCCCACTCCCGGCAATAATTTGTCTGTGATGACTAATTTGGAAATAATTGACATGTGTGCAAACAGGTTCTTATAGTGACATTAGCTGAAGATTATGTGCACAAATGTGGTAACAAATCTATGTAGCTCTAGCAAGCTTGTTAACAGTGTAAGTGTAACCAGCCCAGGCAGGCTGAATGGTAAGTGCAATATTTCCCCCAAACAGATTATATCTGATTCTAAAACTAATTAACTTGAGGAATTTCACAGAAAGGGAATGACCATTCAAAACAGGGAAGAGAAGACCTCAGCTGATTTTTTGCTGTTTCTCCCATCCATCATCAGTCTTCTACTCCTCATCCTGTTCAGAAGGGCTTCTCAACCTCACAAGAGGCTTTCCAGGGTTTGTGGGTGACTATTTGTGGGGAAGGAAAAGGGAAAGGGAAAGTTTTCTTCTGTAAGCTTCCTTAAATTAGCTAATCTTAGGATCAAAGCCAGTGGTCTTAAATGAGCAAGAACAAGACCCCAAGCATAGATTGCCAATATGGTGCCTGTGAGTGAGATGGTGCCCTTGAATCTTTCTCTGGTATGCATGAAGCACATTGAGGTCCCATCTCACTGCCCCGTGGTCATGTGTGGTTATAATTCTTCTCCCTTAAAGAGGAAGTAGAACTGAAGGAGGAAGTTGGAAGAGTAATGTTCTTTCCAACTTACTCTTTCAGCTCTGTATGCTTTTCAGAGCTCAGATGAATCCCAATAGAACTAACTTTAACACAGCCCCCTCAGAAAAGTAAATAAATGGCTGAAGTTACAAAAAGATGACAGAGGGCAAAACGTTTATGGCACTTTCACAAAACACCTGTTCCTCAAAATTTTAACAAGCAGGATACACATTTTTTTCTGGATTGTAACTGACAGCATACACAAATATCCACAGTCAAACCCTCAGATCTCTCCCCTCTGGCTTTGCCTCATGGGTAAGGGCATGATTTATGAAGACATAAAGAGCCCACAACCTTGCCTAACCTATTGCGATATTAGCTTTAGCATTTGTAAGCTGCCTTGGAAGGAGTTGTTTCCTGAAAGACGAGATACAAATAATAGTAATAAAAGTAAGAGCAACATGACACAAAAAAGCTACATATACTTGTTTAAATCTGAAGCAAAACATAGAAACGTTTTTGCTTTTACACGTTCTCCCAGGGAATATGATAAGTAAGACGGTGTTGTCCATCATGCAGTTATTTTTATCTCTTCCTTTTCCTTCCATGCTCCAGGCAACTCTGGTCCATGATAGTTGATGTTTGTGAATGATAAATATTTAAATAATATGTTTAACTATTCAATGTAAAACTGGGGTGAGGGGACTCTAATCAGTTGACAGGTCTACCTAAAACATTTTAAGCAATATTTCATTTTCCCATTACTTGTATTTTTTTCAAAACTCTCTCCCCGGCTTCCTGTTTCCTTGTCCCTCCAATAAATGGACAGCACAGTTCCAAAAATCTTTGTTTTTTTAAAAAAACTTCTTTCAGTTAATTTAGATAATTGTGCTGTTTGCCAGATTTTCCTTATGCAGCCTCCCCAATCAATATTTTTACATTTTCCCATTTTTAGCTATTACCAATATTCATTTGGATACTACCAGCTATTATATTACCAGATTCCCATTGGGATCGTGACAATAAATCATCACTCAAAAGCGTTCATATAATTCATTTATTATTCATTTTTCAATTCATTCATTTATTTCCCAGCCAAAATCCCCAAACATCTTACAAGATAAAACGCATGAAATAAATTACAAAACATAAGCAAAATACAAAAAAAAATAGCTCCTAGGGATGAGCAAGGGGTGCGGGTGGGGGGATCAGTTCCATTAAACTTGGATGTAGTACCATTCAGATATTTGGGACTAAAACCTGACTATTAAGCATGCTGGCTGCAGCAGAAGGAAGCTGTTGTTGGCATCATCTCTAGGGCAGCATGTTGGTACCTGCACTAAACAACTAGAACTCAAAAGTCTCCCTGGAGTTGAAGGGCAAAGGCTGCCCTATAAGCACACAGAGTGACATGGAATCTAGTGGGACCTTACTTGGGAGAGTGTTCCAAACAGTGGGTTTAAGAAGAGATAAATCCCTCTCCCTGGTCGGCTGTGACTCTTCAGAGGAAAAGGCATCAACAATAAGGCCTATCTTGGAGAGATTAAGGAATGGGAAAGGATATACTGAAGAAGTTAAGGGATGAGAAAGGATATGTTGAAGGTGATGTTCCTTTAGATGTCCACTATTTGGACAACTTAAAGCAGGAGTGGGAAGCCTATAGCCCTCCAGATGTTGTTAGACTGCAAATCTCCTCAGCTCCAGCAGCATGGCCAATAGGTAGGGATGATGGAAGTTCTCCAGCAACATCTGGAGGGCCTCAGGTTAAATGTTTTTTAAAAAAAAAAAACCAGGGGAAGACATCTCTCTGCAATCCCACTTACTTAATTTTCTGAGAACGAAGTCTTATTTGGATGTCCACTCCAATCATCAACAACCCACATGATTTACATTAATAACCATGAGGAAGGGAGAGTGGAGCTGCACCAACTGGCTTCATTCCCCCTGTTGTGTTATAGTGAAGGGCCATGGCTCAGTATTACAGCATCTGCATTGCATGCAGAAGGTCCCAGCTTCAATCCCTGGCATTTCCAGGTGGGGCTGGGAGAACCTCGCTGCCTGAAACCCTGGAGATCTGCTTCTGGTCAGTGTAGACAATTACTCAGCTAGATTGACCAATGATCTCAGCCAGTACAAAGCAGCTCCCTACATTTCCCATCAACTCTGCTGTCCACACATTGAAGAGAAATCCTTGCAGAGGAAAGCCTGTTGCAGGCAGATCAGGCTTCCCCATTGCAATGGGAGCCTACTCAGGTACAGCAAACTCGCCTCTACAGATGTTGGCAGGAGGCAGAGTGTTCTCATTCAAAGAGAGCACGTGTTGTGGTGGGGTCTGCCAGGCCACCCCTCTGTTGCCAGGCAGGAAAGTATAGATGATCTTTGGCAGTGATTGGCCTATTGAGCTGCTGGGGTAAATTCGATGTTGCCAATTTGGGGGAGGGATCAGAGGTTTCATATGCAGGGCATGCAGCTTGGGGCTTCCTCTTTTGCTGCGTGCACCGGATCACCCGCCCACCCTCCCTAATTTTAGGTCTTGTGTGTCTGACCTTGCTATGCCCGTCACGGGGTCATCTGCGGTTGGGGCAGGGGCCTGGTAGGAATTTTGTCCATTTGGTTGATTGGCTGGTGCCATTTGGTTTTTGCCTACTACGTAGCAAATCGTCACAACTTGTAAGGTTGCAGTTAGGAATTGGTTAAAAAATTATGCCAAAAACCTTAAACAAAAATTCTGTGTGAATTTGTGTTTTATTTGGGACCCCGAGGCTTGGGGACCTCGACACGCAACCAACAGAAATGCAAAGAAGGCTATCAGGCACAGTCCCTGTCTCCCCCTCCAGTCACTACTCAATTGCATTGAGTGCATGTCCAAATAGGACATGATGATAAATGAAGAAGGTATTGGTGATGCTGGTTAAGGGTTTTTTAAAAAAACTAAGGTACGTGGGTCAACTGGCACTTTCTCTGCCCATTGCCCACAATTACCACTGAGTACACTGCAGGGAAGGTTTCCTGAGGCCGGCCATATACCTGGGAGGTTCTGCTTCTTCTGCAGAGCAGGGCAAGAGGGAAGATCACACAGAAGGCGCTGCCTGAGATCCTGCTGCAACCCAGCACCTTGAAAGCTTTTCAGGCTCTCTCTCTTTCCCTGAGCATGTCAGGGAGGGGAGGGGAGGCCGTCTGCAGTGACATCTCTCAGAAGCACAATTTCTCTCGGGAGGCCAGCACCACCGCACTCCTTGTTACTATCCTTCTTTCAGAAACTGATTTGTTTTGTGCTGTTTTCTATTCACATCACAATCCAATCAAACTGTAGAATATAGGAAAGATCAAAGCAGTACAGCATACACATCTACAGTAATTCACAAAATATATGAGGCATTAAAATTTTCATTTCTCATTCTTGAAAGAAAAAACATAAAGGTAACAGAAAATGATGCGGGATATGAATCTATCCCTGAGACAATGATTGCAGCAAGAAGTAGAAACTGTATAAGCCAACTGCTCCTTTCTTGTTAGATCCCCTTTATCACTAAAGAGAGGGACTTTTTTCGTAAAAAAACAACAAGCCTCCTTTCCACAGTCACCTGGAAAGGACAAGTTCCTATTACAGCTGGAATGGATCTTTAAAAAAACTCAATTCCACTAGATAAAACAAATTTTCTTACAAGCAAATCAAGAAAAATGTTCTTACACAATTGTGGGGTATTTATTTTGGTTTGGCAAGGGAATTAGTGGAGATGAAGCATATTTCCCAACCTGCTGCTGTTCCACATTCTTAGCCCCCTTCCAACTTTGAATACTTATAAAATCATTTTTGCAGGTGCAACAAAGGGTGGACAGATATGTCAATGTTGACTTCTCTCGGTTTCTCATTTTTCCAATCTTCAGTTTGCCTCTTTTTAAAGGTTCTTGTGAAAATTCACCCACATTGTAGTGCATATTTCTCCCAAAATACAAATTTCAGCAAGCAATCTTGCCTAAAACAATGCATTTTTGTATGTTGTTTTCACTGTTTTCAGATCATATAAATCTTTTGAATTTTACTACAATGTGCATTTTATGCACACACTCCCTTAATATATACCTTTTTGGACATTTTTGGTGCATTGCAAAATCTAGAGAATTTCTAAGGATAGCTGCATCTTGTTTTGTGAACTGCAGATTGGGTAGGTCCACATTGAAATGCTCAGTGAACAGAGTTTATCCTCTATTCCCACCTCTAATTTGCCACAATTTCCAGTTTTTCCTCTCCCCCCTTTACTTTTATGATTACCAATAGGTTGTTTTGAAGTTGTGTTTTAATGTTGTAATTCACCCTGGGATCTTAGGGCAAAGGCTAGGTAACTAGTAGTAGTAGTAGTAATAGTAGTAGTAATAATTAATGAGTGCACCTGCCTATTGATTGTAAACACCAGAAGAAAGGGGAATTTTGATGAGATCACATTGGGATTCCTTTGAATGCTGCAATGGGAGGGAGGAGGAGAACGAGGGATTCCACTTGCAGCTACCAGGACTGAGCATGCGCTTGCTGATCGCAACCTTCCTGCAACCAATGGGCTGAACATACGCAACCTGTGAGAATAAAAATGCCTAGTGAATATTGCAGGAAACCTCAAAATGATGTCCAGCACTCTGAACAATGTCCAGAAACTAAAAGAGGAAGTGTTAGTAGGAATCACTAATGAATTGGTGCCACTCCAGAAACAAGATCTGGTAATCCGGAACACTAAAATCCAGATTACATTCCCTAGCTATCAGTCATAATTGCTAGATATTAAAATAACTTTATATGAAGGCTAGTTCCTTGATTAAAGCAATGACAAACCTAGACAGCATCTTAAAAAGTAGAGACATCACCTTGCCAACAAAGATCCGTATAGTAAAAGCTATGGTTTTCCCAGTAGTGATGTATGGAAGTGAGAGCTGGACCATAAAGAAGGCTGATCGTTGAAGAATTGATACTTTTGAATTATGGTGCTGGAGGAGACTCTTGAGAGTCCCATGGACTGCAAGAAGATCAAACCTATCCATTCTTAAGGAAATCAGCCCTGAGTGCTCACTGGAAGGACAGATCGTGAAGCTGAGGCTCCAATACTTTGGCCACCTCATGAGAAGAGAAGACTCCCTGGAAAAGACCCTGATGTTGGGAAAGATGGAGGGCACAAGGAGAAGGGGACGACAGAAGATGAGATGGTTGGATGGTGTTCTTGAAGCTACCAGCATGAGTTTGATCAAACTGCGGGAGGCAGTGGAGGACAGAAGTGCCTGGCGTGCTCTGGTCCATGGGGTCACAAAGAGTCGGACACGACTAAACGACTAAACAACAACAAAAGTTCCTTGATTGTTTGACCAGAGAGCAAACAGACCTGAACTGAAGCATACTGAAGGAGACTGCACCACAGAATTCATGTTCTTGTGGCTGCTTTCTGGTTGTATGTCGTTCTTCCATTGACAGGATCGGGGGAGAAAAATTGTTTTTCTCTGTGTGGAGCTCAGCAAGAGCTTCTCAAGCATGTGGCTGCCAGCACCTTGCTTGTTTCTGCTACTTAGGTTTATGTCTAACGTTGTGGAAGGGGGAAAGGTTTTACCAGTTGGAGGATACAAACCAGCTACCTCCAGAATGTGCTTGGGGCTGCTTTAACAAACTGCACCACAGAACTCTCTCGGCTGTGGCTGCTGCGTTATTTTCTGTGTTTCTTCTGTGTTGTCAGGGAGGAAATGTGACAAATTTGTGCCCAGGTCGGTCTATGTGGATTGGCTCCCTCAGTGTGTGGGAGATGCCACAGAAGTCCCTCATTGGTGGCCACCAGTAGTATTTCCAGGTACATGGGGCGGGGAGAAGTATCTGTCATTTCCCCACTATTTTTGTATTTTCAGGCTGAATGTTTCCCCCTCCTCTCCCCTCCTATGCTTTTGCAAATGTTTCACTGCCGTTATCTACAACTCTAGCATAATGCAAGTGTAGGATTTGTCTACCCATTAAGTGTGATTGTTTCTGCTAATTGACTAGCAATTTGTTTCCCTATATAGCATCTTGTGCGCATGATGAGCATGTCTTAAATCTACCCAATGTTTCTGAATGTTGTGAGCAACCTTCTAAGATAATAGTCTTTGAGCCTTTTGCAGTTTCCCCCGTTTGCTGTTGTTTCAGTTGCACTGTCCTCCTCATTTCCCCTTCCTACCCCCCACTCCCACCCTGCTCCCCAGTGTTGAATTTAATATGCTGAGCTTTCTCGAAAGGTCTAGTTAATCTGTCCAAAGACTGTGTGATCTTTGAAAAAGATTGGCTGTGCACTCATAATTTACAAATTGCTCCCATATATCAGACATCATCAGCTTTCTATTTTTCATATTGCAGCAAATACAAAAGGTGAAGGAGACATAAAAGGTAAAGACCCTTTGTAACATAAAACAGAACGCAAGGTTGATGTATCCTTTGCTTATTTGTGTGTGTGCATGTGTGTGTGTGTGCAAAAGATACAATAGTCCAAGGATCTTTCTGATTGATTAAAGTATTGAAGCGTATTTTTTGCTTCATAAATAATGCTCTATTACTTTTCCTCAAAGACAAGCAAACCTTGACAGACTGACCTTTTTCAGGGCAGGGAGTTGTTTCAGTGCCATAAATTATACTGTAAAACGAGGGGAAATGCTACTGAGAAGTGTGTGACAAAATAAGATTAAAGATTACTACACACAAAAGATTGTTGTTTTATTAATGGAGTCCTGTCAGAAGGATGAAAAATCCTCAGCTTTTTACTGGATGCTGAGATCACGTCAAACAGGAAATTATGAATGCCTTTTGTAACAGAAAACAAATGTGTCAAAACAATATACTCATTACATCTTCCCCAGCCCCACCTGGCACATTTCATGTTTTCGTTTAGAGCTGTTTCACAGTTTTTTAGATGAAGTTTAAGAACTGGAGTGCAATCCTATAAAAGTGGGACCAATTCAAAGTGCTGGTTTTGGCATATGAAGTCCTTCATAGCTTGGGACCTCAGTGTTCCAAAGAATGTCCCTTCCCCCCTAACCTAAGATC